GAGAGAGAGAGAGAGAGAGAGAATTTTTAATATTTATTTTTCAGTTCTCGGAGGACACAACATCTTTGTTGGTATGTGGTGCTGAGGATCGAACCTGGGTCGCATGCGTACCAGGTGAGCGCGCTACCGCTTGAGCCACATCCCCAGCCCCTGTGTGTTGATTTCTAATTTCATTCCAGTAAGATCAATAAGATACAAGGAATAATATTCATTTTTTTGGTATTTGCTAAGAGTTGCTTTGTGTCCTAAAAGATGGTCTGTTTTGGAGAAGATTCCATGGGCAGCTAAGAAGTAATTTATCTGTTTTTGGATGAAATATTCTATAGGTGCCTAAAAGGTCCATTTGATTTATAGTATTTTTTAGATCTAAAGTCTTTACCGAGTTTATGTCTGGATTCCTATCTTTTGGTAAGCAATGTGTGTTGAAATCCCTCAGTATTATTTTACATTTCCTTTCTTTGTTAACTAAAAAGATCAGTGGAAATAATACCCAAGTATCATTGAGGACATCTAGCACTGAGATTTAGGTTTCTTTCTTATATTTATTTTTTTAATTTTAGTTGGACACAATACCTTGTTCCATTCATTTATTTTTTATGTGGTGCTGAGGATCGAACCCCGGGGCCCTTCACATGCTAAGCGAGCGCTCTACCGCTGAGCTACAACCCCAGCCTGAGATTTAGGTTTCTAATACCATTCTTTGAGAAAAGAAATCAGCAATCCTTAGAGAAGTATCTGATTCTAGGACTATAGTAGAAATATGCAAAATGAGCCTGGGATATTTTGTGGAGTCAGAAAGTAAAGAAGTGGAAATAACTAAATAAATAATAAATAAATCCCACATTGATGGACTATGTTAAAGAGACAAGATTCAAATGAAAGAAGTCCTAGTGACCAAATTTTAGCAAGAAGTGGAATGAAGGGCTGGGGATATAACTCAGTGGCAAAGCACCTCTGGGTTCAATCCAAAAAAAAAAAAAAAAAGGAAAGAAATAAAGAAAAAGAAGTGGAATGAGCAAGAAAATAATGTAATATTAGATTATAATCCAAGTTATAAATAAATATATAGTAATTCATATTGGTATAAATAGATTATTGAAAAAATTAATAAATGGGAGCGAAGAGACACATCTCCTCTTCAGAAGATATCCAGATAATTTATGTAAATATTCTTCCCTAAAGGAGGGGAAGCTTTATTTACTACTCCTTAAGTATGGACTGTGCGTAGTAGCTTCCTTCCAAAGAGTATGGAAAGGGTCAATGAGAGAGTGATCAACAATGGGAAAACATGGCAAATACTACCTCAGCTAGGTG